CACACACACACACACACACACACACACACACACACACGGTTTCAACTGTGTTCCATAGTTTAGCTTCTCTAGGAATTAAAGTACGTTGTTTTATTGTTTTTGTTTTTTATCTAGATGACCATGATTTCCGCTGGGACAAAAGATTTGTTTTATTTTCTGCTCCAGCACTAATCGGGCATAAAACATCAGTGTACTGAAATCAAACATAAAAGGAACAGATATGAATCACACCATGTCAAAAATACCATTTCTACTTTAGGGAAATTTAGGGGTGGTAGGGTGGTAAAACTGCTGTGTAGAGGACAAGAAGTCACAACCCAGGGGTGGTTTCTTCTTGTCCAAGTCTGGATCTGCACCATAGCCTGATCTCAGCTCTTTTCACAGCTAATCTCTGATGATAGAGCCAACCAACGACATTCTGGTCTGTTAAACGTATAACTGAAAGGCCTCCCTCCTCTTCATGCCAGCCATTTGTGGAAAAGATTAACAGGTGGCGCCTCAGTTTCATCTACCATGTTGTTTTTTTGTGTGTGCATGTTCAGATGTTGTCCACCTCTGCACGAAGTTCGGGACACAACTCCTTGAGTAACATTTCCATTAAAACCTATCGAGAAAAAGCGAGACAAAAGATGATGTCATCGACGAGATCTGGTCATTTACCAGCACGGCTATTTGGTATGTTTTGCTTACATAGAGAAGATGTTTGTTGGCACTAGCTTCCTGCAGTACATTGAAGATTTTGATGATTCCATATCGAGCGTTTTGCTGGCCAACTAGATTTGTTAGTGCATCTGAATAAAAAGAAGAAACAAAAATCACAACTGTTTCAAAGGGCTATTGAAGGGTTTCAGCTACCGCAGACATCTGTGATATAGTGTTGCTACCTGGGATATTGTCCAACAGTTTCTGTTGAGCCCGCTCCTTGGTCTCACTGCGTTCGCAGTCGGTTCGGACCTTGACGTGTGGGGCTAGCTTCCCATTAGGCCAGAACGTGTCCCTGAACACACTGATGTAACACACCAGCATCTGCTCACAGAATATCCAGTTAACAGTGTCCCGGATCTGCCTGAAATAAAGTAAAAGGTCATTTTTAAAAGTCTCCTGCAAAAATGTCTCTTTATGCTCTTTAAATCTCTGCTAGTTTAAAAATGCTCTGCTCTTTTTTTTTTTTACTTTTTCCTCTTTTTTGACTGTGAAAACCACAAATTCTACTGTTAAATTTAAATAATACTCCTGATTAAAGATGCTAATCCACCTCAGAGAAGTCAATTTGCACATTGTGTGAGTCAAACATCTACAAGCAAATTAGTGTTAAACTGAGAAAAAAGTGGTCCCTGTTTTTCTCATGAAACTGACTTCCTGAAAAAGTTACAGCCCTTGAAGACATCAATAATCAAAACGTCTTACTTGTTGATGGTCCGGCCAAATGTCACCTGGACTAGTGCAATTAGAGTCTTCCTCACCCACTTAAACACTGAGCAGGGAAGTAGATGGTGGGAGAACGATTCAAGATTAAAAAAACTTTATTTATCCTGACGGAAATTGCTATGCAACATTTGCAATACAGGATAAAAATAAATAAATACAACTAAACTAGTGAGCAATTGTTTAAAGTAACCAGTGACAAATTATAGCAGCATTTTAAAAATACAAATAAGTAATAAACAGAGAAATGATAAGTGAGGTAATGTAAATGTAAGGAGAAAGGAGTAAAAAATCAGGATTTTGTCAGTAAGATGCTTACTTCCTCTGAGTTCAAAGATCTCTCCTATAAGCATGAAGCAGGGCTCGGCCAGGGCATTTCTCCTTCCGTCAGCCTCATCACCATAGTCCGAAAGATCACTGTCATCATCGCCATCCTCCTGTTAACAGTCAAACGGAGTAAGCAAGGATGGGGGGGGCAACAGCTGTTCAGAATTCATAGGATGTGCACGAATCCTCACCTCAGTGTGGGAAAAGAAATCTCCAGGTAACCTCTCCAGAAAGGAGGCCAGAGAGAACGATGATTTCTTCTGAATAGACATCACCTTAAAACATCCAACGGGGTATTGTTATTATTACAGCTGCTGATTACATTGCTAACTGTGAATTCCAGGTAAATCTATCATGCATATATTTAATAATATGTCTAAATTCCTCTTTAAACACTCCTTCACATTCATCTATGTGTTCTTAATGTATTTCAGTTTTACATGGGATATTTTTTTATTTTAATTCTGACTATTCTTATTTATAGTCCCCTCTTTTAACAATGCTTTAACACTGCGAGTTTCATCCCACATAGTATGAGTGTTGTTGGTTACCTTGAGGTGCTCTGGCGATGGGCTGAGGAACGCATAAAGCACCTCTGACTGGCATAGTCTCTCATCTGTCAGCAAACGCTACAACACAGATACATCAGGCTGTGTTACATAATTTCCTGAGGGTGACGGTTTTGTACTGGGGGTTCTACCATCTCCGTTAGCTTGATGTTTACCTGGAGAAAGGCATTGAGCTGTGTTTTACTCTTGTCTAAGAATTTCTGGTCAATGGACTTGAAAGGAAGTTTACTGAGTGATGGTAACTGGAGCTTCTTCAATGATGGAAAACACTAAGTGGGAGAAAAAGGCAGTTAAATATAATTAAGACTAGATACAAATAAATAAATAAAATGAAAATAAAAGAATACAGCATATTTTTAGTGAAAACTAAGTGCAGATTTATCTGCTTTCAATAACAACATCACAGATACAGCTTCCTTTTAAAGAATGCATTTCCCTTTCTGGCCTGGAGGGGGAGACTCCTATTAGAAGGAGAAGCACATTTAAACTGACACACTGGTATGGTGTACCTCAGTGAGTTTGCGGTGCAACATCTGGAACTCTGTGAGCTTTCTTTGGACGCTCCAGCGACTGTTGACCGTCTCCTCTCCTTCTGCCAAGCTAACGCACACACTGTAACACGCCACGGTCTCACCGCCTTCCTCTGCGGCCTGCGTACACGCAGACATATGCATTAAAGGTGTCTGAGAGACTCAGAGTCATACTCTGAGACGTGTCTCTGTGAAGAGATCCTTTCACTGTTCGTTTTGGGTCACATGATGGGTGTTAAGAAAACCTGCATGTTGCAGACCAGATAATTATCCGATTCAAAAACAGATACATGGATCATGTCTCACCTGAATGCACTATTCAATTTGTTAAATATACAAACAGCCTTTAGCCATTTGTGTAGTAGTTCAGAATACACAAAAAGATTTAAGAGGCTCAAGCAGAATTTTTTTTAGTCCCTCCCATTGCTCCTCCAATTCAGATGATCAATGCACCAGCTTCAGTTTTGTTGTGAGAAAAAAAGATGCTGTCACCTCAGCAGCTGTAATCAGAGCCCTCCAGTGCCCAAGGTTTTCACACCACCAGTCCGTCCTTGTGATGTGCTGCTGCAGCTCACTGTGCTCTGTTTCCATGGCTCCAATTTCTTCCTTTAGCTTACTCACAATCTACGATCAGAGATGGTAGTTATTCACTTCAAGCATGTGGACAATGGACTCTGGAGTTTTAAGTGTTTTGTTACTTTTGTAGTTTGTTAACCTTTTTATCTGGTTTGGGGGCGTTCTGGATAGAGCCCAAGGCCTGCCGCTTGTACTCCAGCTTGTCGTAGAGTTGGCGGAGCTTGGTTGCAGCGTAGCTGGCCTGCTCATTTATTCCTTTACTACCCTCATCACACACTTCTTCTCCAACATCCAGATCCTGGCACTGCACATAGACCCATAGTTGTGGTTATAATAAACAAAAACAAACAAATGGGAGGATGAGCCTCAGTATGTGTATAATTTCTGTAAATGTACTCAGCTGACCCCTTCCCCTTTCTCCTCTGGGCTACAGCCTGATTGGCTGTGTGACTCATCTCTTCTAATCAGCCTATCGTAGAGGTCAGAAACCAGGAAGGAGGGGTAGTAACGTTCTCGCATCGTCTCAGCCACCTGAAAGGACATGTCAGACCGACAAATGCTTTACCATCACACTATCATCAAAATAAACCATATCTACACACAGTGACAGGTTGTTAAATATGCAGAAGCTACATATACCTGCTCTTGTAGTCGTACAAAAACCTGAGTTCCTCTGTTCCCTACCAGACTCTGCTGGATCTCCTTGAGGAGAAACTTCTCCACCTGAATCTCTTTGCTCTCCACAAAGAACTTTTGGTAGATCTCTCCTACGATTTGGGGCACCTCATTCTGTCAAACAACAAAACACTTTCACAAACCCTTGAATGCTCAGTTGGAACCTATTCATAGGGGTGCACATAACTGGTATGCAAGTTTGCATGCAACTTTTCCTAAAAAACTATTTTTTGGCTCCGGCTCCATTTGGCATTTTTTTGTAGGTGGTGAAACGTCAAAGAAGGTACTTAATGTCTGTTGCTTTTGCTGGTGTTGACAACATGATAATGGGATGGTCAAATACGTTTTGCGTACGCTCAAATGGTACGCTTTGCGTACTTGACCAACACATTCGCAATACTGGTATCTTATCTAATGTTACACATGTTGCTTGTTAACTACTGTTGGAGATGCCCTAAAAGCAACAGACATTTAGCAGCTTTTTGGGAGTTTTGCCACCCACAAATTGAGCTATAGCTGAAGAAAAAATACTTTTCGGAACAGTTCCATATCTGTGTACCAGTTGTGTGCACCCTAGGCTAATTATTTAAGAGTCCTTCTCAGAAACAGAACTTCATTAAAAACAGACTTCATCAAACTTTTCAATACAAGTGATGTGTTCAGGAACTAATAAAATCCATTCAGGTTTGGGCCGACGGGTGCCATTTTATACGGGTTAAAAAGAAGTTTAATGCTGGCATAAACCCTGTAGAATAAGTGCTGGGTACCTTGTTGGCAGTTTTCAGTGTTTCCACTAGTTCCCAGAAGCTTATCAGAGCTCTTTTATCCACTCTCTCCATGTAAACTCTAAAATGCTCTCTGTAGCCTGGATTACACAAAATGTCATCAAACTGGAGGATCTGGACAAGTAGAAAGCAGAGTGCAAGAGAAGCCAAAGTTCAGTGTCCATGAGAAATGTTTATGTCATGGAGTTTCTTTCCAAACATGCAAAGATGACATAAGCTGCCATCTTACCCTCTGACTTTGCGGCTCCTCTCCATCGTCGGCTCCTCCTTCTTCGCTGTTCTCATAGTTTGGTCCGCCCAGCAGGCGAATCCGTTTCTCACATTGTTTCTTCGCAACAGTCAGCTGATTGATGTACCGTTTCATGTCTCTTGCCCTAAGCAAGTCTGCTTTCATGGCCGCAGACTCTTTGCCTTTTCGCTCTAAGAGAAAAGAAGCAGAGTGACTGCAAAACAGTTCAACAAAAACAGAATGCAATTATAAAATCTAACTGACACAACATAAAAACTCAGACTCCGGTTAGAACAGCGACATCAATGTACCAACTCTAGTTAAATCAAAAAGCATTAACTGAATGGGTGTTTCTACAATCTTTGAGAGCGATGTCCTACACTGGTCCATGAGAGCTGTTGTCCCACCGGTTTTTAGAGGTGTCCCTGCTTAAACACACCTGATTCTGATGGATCCATACAAAATATTTTTAAGCTCTGCACAAGCCTGTAAATAGTGCATTGATGTGATTCTGGTGTGTTGAAGCAGGAAACAAAAGCCCGCAGAACAGCAGCTTTTTAGAACCGACTTTGGACACCCCTGATCTATGGTTATGTGACATACCACATAACAACATGGAAAAGCATCCACATGTTTAGTGCTTTTTAAAAATGAAAACATTACTATGCTCCATTTTCCAGTGTTCAAAGAAATCAGGCCTTTTTCTGTTGTTGTTGTTTTTCTGCTATTAGTACCTTTCTGCTTCTTGAGCTGAGGCAGGCTGCTGATGGTGGTGGCATGGATAATTTCAACAACAATCTGATACCTTGAAAGAGACATGGAAGACAAGGGTAAAAAGAGAGAAAAAGAAAAAGACGTCTGTAGTAACCGAGTGTACAAGAGTCGATCCATTCAATCCACACGGAGGCAGGGGACTTGAGTTGTCATTCTTTTACTTAAGGAAAATCATCCGGCAAAATACAACCGTTCCAACTGGAACGTCCCACACTGAAACTGGCCCCCGGAGGGGCAACCCCCAATTTGACTATAGTTCCGTCCCTAATATTTCCCAATATATAACAACGTCAATCGTCATTCCCTGATTAAAAGAAAACCAATAGGGGCTTTCTTGGATGAATTAGCAGAATAGTACTGAAGTGAATAAGATATAAATACAATCTGACATTTGATATGGGTAAAACATTCAAAGCAATCCCAGTCAGCCAGTATATTGCTGCAGAGATCATCTGTTGCCATGGTAACCCCTCCAGAGCAAAAATACTTCTAGTTTACATGTCTGTTCCCACGTATATGCACAGAGCACTAATTCTATTGATAAGTTTCAGTTTAATGAGGCTGTGTGTGTGTGTGTTGCAGCAGCCTTGCCTGAGTTGTTTGAGGAAATTGACATCAGAAGAAGTTGATATCAGTTTAATGAAGTCTTCATAAGAGGCAGCATAGGTGTAGGCTTTCTTCTGCTGCTCTGCCTGCTGCTCCCTCTGCTCCAGCTGAGACAGCAGCATCCTGTTTATAGAGTCTGGATCACTGAGCACCTCCACCAGAGGCTTCAACACTAGGCAAACACACAGATGTCCAGGTGCTTCAGTACCAGCTAAAAGCTTCCTAAACGGATTTTGAATGATTCCGGTGGGATCTATTATTTCAGTGAAGCACATTTAGATGTTTTCAGTCTCAAAAATGGACTTTTGTTACAAAGTTCATGTGCTTCTATAATGAGCCAAACAAACACCAGGGTACAAAATGACCGTTCGACTGTGTGCCCGGAGCGCACTCTTTATTGTCCGGGCGTGAGAAAATCAAAAGTTGTTAGCCCGTCGTGCGCTCAACTCCGTGGGGTAGGACAGGTTGGAAAATGAAGTTTTTATATCAAATACATGGAAAATAAACAAGGAATTGTTAGGATTTGGTTATAAATATTCACTTAAGCATAGTATGCTATCACATGATCTATGTAGATTACTGATTGTTTTATTTCTTTTATAACTATATGAAGTCTCTGGCTGTAACCACAGATTGTCTTTGCTCTCTCTTTTCTTTCTCTCTTTTCTTTCTCTGTTGCATTAGATCCACATCTTTAAGTCAACACACACACACTTCATTTGGTACCACATTCCAATGTCATCAACATGAATTTACGATCCGGCTTGTTAGTCTTAGAGGTAACTAACCAATAGGACTTGGTTGTGTCTAGTCCTCCTTTGAGGGGTGTGCCTAGCCAAGGAGACAAAGACCCATCACACCCAGATCTCAGGGCTCTTGGCCGACTGACACCCTGAGAGAGAGGTTTCCTTTGTGAAGAGCCCAGCGCTGAAATACTTTACCTGTGACCCAATAAATGTCAACTTTTTACTCTTGATCGACTCTGGTTTATTCTCAGGTTTCCAACTAAAGAATCAGGTTAACAGAATCAACAACAACAAAAATCGTTCGAGGCATAACGTGGTTGCGCCGCCAAGCGAGAGGAACTGAAAAGTTTTTAATAAAATTATATTATAGCACAGCGACGACAGCGTTCCAAGCTATCTTCTTACAAATGATTTTCTGCGTGTTTATTTCCGAATATGCACGCAAAGTGACGCAAGGCTATGAAGAAATATTCGGATTTAGTATGCTTGAACCAATGTGACAGAATAGCACCAATCGGGCTGGCTACTTTTGGTCAGGGCTAACAACTTTTCAGAGCTGTTAGCTGCTAACTAATTCCAAACTCCCACCAATGTCATACCCTGCAAACACCCATTATTACTTTTGAGATATATAAAAGACTTATGGTAGTAGCTGCAGAATGACAGCTAGCAGGAGTGTTTATTTTTACCCTGTTTCAATTCCTCAGTCCATTAGCTGATGCCATTGTTAGGATTTGGCTATAAATACTCACTTTAGCATTGTATGCTATCACATGTTCTATGTAGATAACTGATTGTTTTCTTTTCTTTTACAACTATATTTTGTGTTAAATTCTCTAGCTGTGTCCACAGATTCTCTTTTCTCTCTCTTTCCTTCTCTGTTGCATTAGATACACGTCTTTAAGTCAACACAAACACACACCATTTGGTACCACATTCCAATTTCATCAACATGAATTGTTAGTCTCAGAAGTAATTAGCCAATAGGACTTGGTTGTGTCCAGTCCTCCTTTGAGGGGTGTGCCCAGCCCAGGAGACAAAGACCCATCATACACAGAGTTCAGGGCTCTTTGCCCTCTGAGACTCTGAGAGAGAGGTTTACGTCTGTAAAGAGCCGAGCGCTGAAATACTTTACCTGTGACCCAATAAATGTAAATGTTTTACTCTTGATCTACTCTGGTTTATTCTCAGGTTTCCAGCAAAAAAAATCGGGTTAACACCAACATAGCTGCTGTCCAATGAGGACTGGGACTTAACTTTTACAATCAGCATGTTATCCATATGGCAAAGATTTCAAAGTGTATAATGCTGTGGTTTGTTCACACGCATTAGCTGGCAATCAGTCTCTAAGTTAGCAAATCTGATTTGAAATGTACCTTAAATGGTTTCCAGACAGGTAAAATATTCAACAATCAGTAACAACTGATGGCCGATTTTCCCTGCTGGTACTGAAAGGAAGCACAGTCTCACTTTCCAACTATTTTCATCTCCGTATATGTTTCAGATCATTTCTCAAGTCTCGTCTGCACCACTTTCACTGGATTTTATATCAATACAGTGAAAGACAAAACAAAAAAAACACTTGTTAGTATGAAAGGAAGTCCTGGAAGACAAGTCTGTTAAATTTTACATTTATAAATCCAAAACTAATAATCTCTCTTCCTATACAAGGTTCAAACTTATGGTTGTGTCAGGATCTGTGAGCTCAGGGTTACACTTGACACAAACTATTGACAAAAAACACAGTGATACTTGCGAGACTTTTTATCTCTTGGTGGTAATCTCTCAGTACCTTTGGTCGTGATGACTTCTGTGAGGCAGCAGCGTAGAGTGTCGGACTTGGCATCCTTCTGCGGCAGTAGACAAAGCAACAGGATTCTTGCTACACAGCGGAGGAAGCCCATCTCCGAGTCTGGGCTGACCAAACAGGGATGGAGAGGAAATGGCCGGGCAACTTCCTCTGGTCTTGATGCACACATGCAAAAAGAAAATGCAGTTCAAACACAGGACATGAACAGGACACAAAACCCTATTTTTCTGTGTGTTACTGTGAGCTCAGTGGTAGGTCATTTTGTGGCTGTTTCGGTCAGCATTGCACCTATGTCAAATCCCTGCTCCTTACACGTGACACAACAACACAGCAACAGTCTTATTAAACCATTACAGACCTGCGATGGAATGTTAGGCTGATGTGTGAATCATCGCCTTTTCGGCTGCATTTATGAGTGTGTGTGTGCTGATGGAGGATATGAGGGGTTTTTACACTGCTCAAAACTGCAGTAATTGCACCCCATCTGTTTGCACGAAAATATAAATCAATGTTTTGGAGACATTTCTAACAACAAATTCAATTGGGTCCCAATTTTTATGAGTCATGAGTCTAAGAAAAGAAAGATTCCATCAGGAGCACAAACATTCTAACATGACTGAATTTCCCTTATATTCTATGATGAATAGAGTTGGCAGAAACATAAACACACCTTCACCTAATTTAGCATGTGTATGTGTGCATACCTTGCAGATGAAGCCTTCAGGTCAGTGAAGTGGGTGTGAAGAATACGAACGCTATCATAACACACCACATTGACAAGGTCTATGTCAGCGAGCCTGGATCTCAGCTGCCCGATCATCTGCCACCAGTCTTCCAATAGCATGGAGTACAACTGGCCCTCATCACGACTCAGAGGGACATACCAGGACAAAATGTAGTCCCTGTAGGCGTAGTCGAACACTGTTAGAAGACAGGAAGTGCAACACATTTGTGACTGGAATACAAACTGGAAGTCACAGCAAGATCTTCTTTTTAAATGTTCAATTATACAATTAAGACCAAAACTCTTGATTTTGCAGTCCATCCATCCATTATCGTAACCGCTTATTCCCCTAATGGGGTCACGGGGGGGACTGGAGCCTATCCCAGTAGTCAATGGGTGAGAGAAAGTGTACACCCTGGATGGTCCGCATGTCAATCGCAGGGCCACACAGAGACACACAAGTACAAACAACCACGCACACTCACACTCACTCCTAAGGGAAATTTGGAATGTCCAATCAACCTAACGTGCAGGTTTTTGGACTGCGTTAGGAAGACGTAGAACCCGAAGAGAACCCACGTAGACACAGGGAGAACATGCAAATGCCACACAGAAAGGTCCTCGTTCTGATTGTGCAGGAATACTAAAAAATGTTAGTATTAGTAGTAGTACTAATCATAGCAGTAGCAATATTATCATAAAACATTTTATTTCAAGGTGCCTTAAATACCTAAATATCAATAAAAGGGTAAAACATGAAAGAATAGTAAAAATATAATAAAACAAGTGGTAACTTTTTTAATTTTAGGGCAAACTGAAATCCATGTGTTCATTAAAGGTCAAATTTACCCTTGACTTTAAATGTGGTATTTCAAGAACTGTATTATGTTGAACTTGGACGCAGAAAAATATCTGTTTAAATTGGGGCAAAGAATTCAGAGACAAATACACAAATTAGGGGAGTTGACAGGTGAGTTGGATGGAAAAGGTCACAGAGGCTGGGTGTGGACCTTATTAAACCAGTTTGTTGATGGTCTTAAAGGCAATAAGCAGGAAGTAATTAAGTATGTGGAATTAAAAGAGAAAAGAAAAATGTAAATAAAAAAAACAACAGGTTGAGCTGGCATCATCTGCATGTAATGGAATGGAGGGTCAGATTTACAGAATTTTTGTAAACATTCTGTGGATCTAAAAAAATAAAAATAAAAGAGGTCCAGGCAACCTTGAGGTACACCAGAAGAGAAGGGGTGGTTGTGATATACATAAAATTGGACTAGCTGAATATGACCACAAAGGTATCATTTAAACTAGTCCTGTGGAGTGCCAGACACTCCAGTCATTGCAAATCAGTCAGTTAAGATGATGTGGGAGATCATGTTAAAAACAGGACTTTGGCTGATAATCATGAAAATGGTGGATTCTGACAGGTATTATTTCAGTGCTGTGAAGTAGCACAAGTCAGACAGAAAGAGTTCATATAAAATACGAGGTGATTAACCTCGAGGTGATAACAGTCTTTTCAATGTTTTGGAAAAGAGATGGTATGAAAGTTATTGAATCTATTGGGGTTGGCATCAGGTTTCTTAAAAATTGACAGTGACTATAGCCGATTTGAGACATAAGAAAACCATGGAAAAGGCCAGTCTGGAAGGTCGAGGGCAGGTGAATGGCTTAGATTTGTAGATAAGGTCAGAACATATCAACAGGGGAAGGATGTTTGAAAATGGAGAGAGTGTGGGAGTAAGGGATAAGAAAAAATGTTCAACAATTGAATTCCAAAAATCAGCTGAGTAGAAATAAAAAGGGAAATAGTCAGGAGGACATAATGTTCTGTTAACCATAGACGATAATGCTTGGCAACTACCTCGGCCAGGTCTGATTAAATGTGCACAGTAACCAGATTCTGAAACAGTGTAAGAGTCCTTTTAGAGTAGCATGTAACTCATGAACATGTCATTATGAACAGAGAGACCAGTTTTTTCTGTTGAAGCTATCCAGCAAGTTATTGGTTGAGTTTCCCCAAAAGCCAGGTGGAGCAAAGGCGAGATATGAAGGAACAGATCTTAGGCCCATGTCTGAGATGAATCATCACAACAGACAAGTTCTTACATTCACATTAGGTAAGTACCATGGGGGGACACAGAAGAACCTGACAAGAGAGCTAAAAAATATATATATATACCAAGCACAAGGACATTACAGGGGGGAAAAGGTATCTCATTTCAAATAAAAATGTACACTTCTTTCATTAAATATTTCGTTCCGTCTCAGTGTATGTGTAATCGATATGTATGGTGCTGTTATGCGATGACGGGGGAGCACCCTTCATTGATACACACAATGAACCAAAACAGTCTGCAGCGGGAAAATATACGCCATGGTTTAAAGCATGCACCGTTAAGTCACCCTGAAGGTCTGACCTTCGTCCTGTGTCTAAATACTTTCTGGCTAAGATCGACATGGTCCATATACAGACCAGAAACATGTGCAGTGTGAAGCCTTGTGACTCTGAACATGATCAGCAGTTTGGAAAATGAAAAAATGGCAGACGGATGAAAAGGGTATTGCTCTTTCAGCATACAAAGGCCTGAAATGAGGCTGTGGATACATTAGATTCATCACTAAAAAACAATATGTTCATTTTAGTTCAATTTCTATTTGTCATTTTTATATTTATGTTTAAAAGGAGTTCAGAGTGACACTTGTGTCTCATTAAAACCAAAGTGACTTTTAAAAACTATAAAAGTGACTATACTCTCTCTCTCACTGTTGCGTCAGTGTTTGCATCACTCAGTCTAAATCCTGCAGCCATCTGCTACTTGGCAGCCACACATTCTGATCCAATGACTGAGCAAATTTGCTCGTATTTATGCAAATGTGTCTGAGTTTATTTGAACGGGACCTACTACTGGTCAACTGAAAGAAACTGAGCTAAACATATATATATATATATATATACACACACACACACACACATATATACGTATGTACTTATAAAGTATTATAAGTACATAAAACACATCCCTCCTAAAATAGTCTAGTCTGACAACTGACCTGAAAGCAAACACGTTTACTAGAGATTTGAAACAAGTCTGTGTCCCTTACAGTTAAATATTAAGTTTGAGTGGATCACTATTGTACTACAAAGCACAGAAAATACCATCAATCCATGTTTAAACCAACATACTTCCTATTCCACTACACCATATAGAAAATACCACTTGCTAGAGCATAGAGCAAAATCCACTCATGCAGGTCATACTTAGATTTAAAAAAGGTACAGAGGAAGTAATCTCAGAATCATTTTCTGACCACAAATGCAAAGCTAACTATTTGTTAATACAGTTTAGCTTTTATACCACACCTTTACAAACAAACTTTGGGTTGTAACACCTGCTTCTCAAGTGAGCGCAGACATTTTGTCATCATGAGATCCAATTTAAGGACCCTTTCACATTTTTTTTTTTTTTTAAGTTGATGTTTCCCAAGCAAATTCTTAATTCATGTGTAATAAAGCTCCTAAGGGGCAAAGAGGACTCATTACCTTCCTTCAGGGCTTTGTCAACATTGTGCGACACCACCACTCTTCTGCTCTGGCTTGGTTCCTGAGTGGGTGCCAAAAAACGACCCTGAGACAAAGAAATTAATAAATAATTAAAGGCTTCTCTAAAGCTTGAATTTGGGCAATTGTGAGCAGTATTGAGGGGAGAAGGAGGAGAAATTTGAGAGCTGTTGATCTAATGAGACCAAAATCCTGACAAAAGGAGGCAAATGCTGTGGCCTGTGCAACATGTCAACCAGTTTGTGACAATGTCGACATCAATAAGTCATCAGCACACGACAGCAGAAAGGAAGCTGCTGCAGAGACACAATCTGTTCCCCTAAGTAACAAACCCGCACCTGTGTATTTAGAATGTGTGTTGTCAGGGTCTAAGTTCAGAGGCATGGCTCTGCTTCATCTATTATAGAACAGGAAAGGGGGTGCACAGGCAGACAATGGAAAGTCTGGGGGGCAAAAATTATACAATAGCAAGCTCAAGAGGTCAACATATTTCACCTTCTAGAAAGCCTTTGGATAATAGAATAAGTTTTCTACCAATTAATTCAAGTTACAGGAGAATGCTACCTGGTTATATATTGATGATATGGCAAGTAACCTATATAGAACATGAATAAGATTAAAAAAACACAGGTATCTTACCATGAGCTTGTTGAAGAACACTGGTCGCGCAGCTGAATGCCTTTTGCTTCTGTCAAAGCAGCTGACTTTGAGGGGGCTTTTTCTGACGAGCAGAACAAAACTCCCAGCCAGAAAGCACAGCAGAGCAAAAGATACATAGATGAACAGCTTTAGGAAGAAAGAGGTAAGAGTCAGGCCTCCCAGGGCCAGCTGAAAGACAACTGCCGCCACCACGCCCAGGCAGAAAGCCGGGACGAACCGGAAAGATGAGCCGTTTGTGGAGCTGAAGGCGGCAGACACGGGCTCCTCTTCTCCTGTACCGCTACTCCCTCCAGCCTGCGGTGTAGTTGAAGTTGAGGAGGTGGGCATACTGCGACCCAACCATCCATATATGAGTCAATGCTAGTTGGGTTGCAACTTTGGTCCGCTCGTATATATGCCAGCACCCCGCGGTAGGTATACTGTGCACACTCGCGCCCACCCTCGACTACAACACTGTCTCCAAGAGGAGGCATCCCCGCTCTGACATCTCCTCATCGACCCACACCTCTATGATTGCCCTACTCCTAGCATCGGCCCGTCCGCCAGCAACAGGCACCAAGGTCCACCATCTTCGTCATCTGCGACACGACGTTCCAAAACAGTAGATTAGTGTATTAGAACTGGAAGCAGTAGCACCGAGATCAAGCGGAGACAGCCGGGTAATGGGTTGGATGGAGCAACAGAAACCGTCACCTTAGAGACAAATATGTGGAGGAGTAGCTTAGTGACTGTTGCTACCTATCTCGCTAGCAGGGAGCTAACTTATAGGGAGTGTACGTTAATTTTACCCTAATACGTAACTCAAACAAAAATGTGCAAGATATAACATACCAAGCAGCACATGTTTCTAACATTCAAATGGTTTCTGCCAAGCTGGATGGCGACAGGTAGCTAACAACGATAGCTTGCTTTCAAAGTAACCAACTCAACATAAGCTAATGGTAGCTTGCTTTACCTTTCGTTTAAGAAAAAGGTGTCCGACAACAATATTGCATTCTGGCGTTCCTCTCGGTAAAATAGATACCAGGAGCCATACAGCTGCGAAGCAAATGCATCAAAAATACAGCTTCGAAATAGGATACCTTCTAAATAACTAAGACATTAACACAGGTTGCTGTTATTTTTCCTTGGGCTATGGCTCACTGACAATCTCTCTGAACTGGCCAGGGTGTCAGCCAATCAGCGTTGGTGTTAACAGCTGATGTTTCACGAGTTTTTCTCTCTGACAGTTTGTATGGACGGGGTTATCATCCGAACGTGCTTGGAAATACTAAAACAAGCACCGCCCAACACAGTGGCTACTAAAGGTTACTTATTAAACGCACCAACAGATAAACGCTTGTACTTGAGTTTTCTGTGACGACAGATTTTTGTCTTTCTCTCAGTCTGCTACAAAGAGGTAATTCATTGTTAACTTCAAGAAAGGTCTTTGCAGCTGTGTATGACCACTCATTTCCGCCAAATGTTATAATTTCCGTTAATTACTATTTTGTGCACACACACACACTCACACACACACACACACATAGATATATAGATAGATAGATAGATAGATAGATAGATAGATAGATAGATAGATA